CTTACCAGCCATTGGGAGGAATGTGGCAGTAGGCGGTCTCGCAGGTATGCTGGCCCTAAGCCATATAGGGCTTTAAAGGTAATAACCAACACCTTGAATTGCGTCCGGAGACCAATAGGTAGCCAGTGCAGCTCGTGGAGGATAGGTGTAACGTGGGGGTACCTAGGTACACCCAATATCGCTCACGCGGCTGCATTCTGGACTAGTTGCAGTCTCCGAACACTTTTCAAGGGTATGTGGGTCACCCACACAGCCCTTCATAGGACCTGATGGTTATTTGAGGGATCGCCTGCCTCCAGATATTTCTGCCCATTTGGGCAGAGTGGATGAGCCTCAGTGAAATGAGCGATCTCTTTAATAAAATGCTGACAATTTGTGAGGGGAGAGGGCAGTGGTGGGATTCAGCCAGTTCACACCTATTCGGGAGAACCAGTTGTTAACTTTCTAAGCAGTTGGGAGAACCGGTTGTTGGAAGAAATCTCCTTTTGCTTTTTCCCACTTTACAGGGCTAATCCTGTAAGGAAGGCAGGAAGGAAACATTCTGGTGGTGTTTCTAGCCTAAACTTTATTGCCCTGCTTACAGAAACTGCCTCTATGGTTAAGCCTTATTACATTGTAACACTAAGGCAAAATGCACATTGACCTGAGTGATGTTGAGTTGGCCATGCCCACCCAGTCACATGACCACTGAGCCACGCCTACCCAACTGGTCATTAGGCAGGGGCAGGATGCAGGGGTGGGGAGCAGGGGGGCGGGGGGCATGAAGCTGGAGTGGGGGCAGGGGCAGAAGAGTTCTGGTCAGCCCCAAGATGATCAAAATGGAATTGGGGTGGGGATTTTTTTACTCCTGTCCTCTTTCAGGGGAGGATGGGCAGTGAGTGGGGTGGGGGCAGAGGTGTGAAAGAAGAGCTTGAGCCTGAGAAGGGAAGAGAAGGCAAGGGGCTCTAGGGCGGGGCTGCCAAAGAGGAGGGTTAGGAATGCCCAAGGAAGGGAGGAGGAGTGGAGGGAAGTCAGCTGGACAGGCACAGTTGGGCACAGAAAGGGTGGGGCACAGCAGCCAGGGAGTTCCCAGGGGGCAGGGAAGAAGGATTCCCATTTTTGGAGGAAAGAGAAACCAGTTTGCACCAGCAGCTCCCCATCAGCCCTGGCGTGGCACATCCCAGGTGTGTCTGGACTACATTCCCCTGGCTGAGGAAGATGGGTTCAGCAGTCTAACATCCCAAAAGTAAGGAAGCGGGGGGAGAGAGAGAGG